TCTTAGTAGTTAGTAAAAGGTGGATTAAAAAAACGGATGTTTGATATTCACATTTTTATATTTTTTTGCATATGATTCGTGAAATATTCAATGTCTTAGTAGTTAGTAAAAGGTGGATTAAAAAAACGGATGTTTGATATTCACATTTTTATATTTTTTGCATATGATTCGTGAAATATTCAATGTCTTAGTAGTTAGTAAAAGGTGGATTAACTTTTACGAGACGAGATAAAAATTTGTGTGGACTTCAAAACAAAAGCTTTCACATTGTTTTTTCTTCCAATAGCTTTCGGTTTATAAATATTAATGTTTATTCGTATATTTTTTTTTGTATGTCAAACAATGGAAAACAAATATGGATATCTCACAAAATAAACTTGGATCAAAGTTCAATTGTAAAAATATTTGTTTAGTTGATTCATGTACGACACATACAATATTCAAAGAGAAGAAATATTTCTCTCATTTAAGTATGTGTAAGGCAGATGTTACTACAATTTCTGGTAGTAGTAATTTAATTGAAAGCTCTGGAAGAGCTGCTATAAATCTGCCCAAGGGAACAATACTTATTATAGAGAATGCAATGTTCTCCAAGTCCAAGAGGAACTTGTTGAGTTTTAAAGATATCCGCCGAAATGGATATCATATTGAGACAATAGATGAGAATAATCTTGAATATCTCATCATTACCAAAAATGTTTCTGGCCAAAAGAGGGTTATTGAGAAGTTCACATCTTTATCTTGTGGCATGTATTGGACAAGAATTAGTACAATTGAGGCACATTCTACCGTAAACCAAAAGGTTACTGATTCCAATACTTTTGTACTTTGGCATGATCGATTGGGACATCCTGGATCAATTATGATGAGACGAATTATAGAAAACTCAAATGGGCATCCATTAAAGAATTTAAAGATTCTTTTAAATAATGAATTTTCTTGCACTTCTTGTTATCAAAGGAAGTTAATTATTAGACCATCGCTAACAAAGGTTGGGATTGAGTCCCCTGAGTTTTTGGAACGTATACAAGGGGACATTTGTGGACCTGTTCACCCACCTAGTGGTTCGTTTAGATATTTTATGGTCTTAATAGATGCATCTTTAAGATGGTCTCATGTGTGCCTATTGTCATCTCGCAACCTGGTGTTTGCAAAATTAATGGCACAAATAATCAGATTACAAGCACAATTTTCCGATAATCCAATTAAGTCTATTAGACTTGATAATGTTGTTGAGTTCTCATCCCAAGCATTTAATGATTATTGCTTATCAATTGGGATAAAAGTAGAACAGCCTGTAGCTCATGTTCACACTCAAAATGGCCTTGCAAAGTCTTTAATTAAACGTCTGCAATTGATAGCAAGACCGTTACTCATGAAAAGGAGGTTGCCCACTTCTGTTTGGGGTCACGCCATTTTACATACAACAATGCTAGTTCGTCTCAGACCAATAAATTATCATAAATATTCCCTATTGCAATTAGTTTTGGGTCATGAACCTAATATATCACATTTAAGAATTTTTGGATGCGTAGTATATGTGCCTGTAGCACCGCCATATCGCACCAAAATGGGCCCCCAAAGAAGATTAGGAATATATGTTGGGTTTGAATCGCCCTCCATTATTCGCTACCTCGAAACATTAACGGAAGATTTGTTCACTACACGATTTGCAGACTATCGATTCGATGAGACACTTTTTCCAAAATTAGGGGGAGAAAATGGTAAAACCAAATGGGAAATTTTGTGAGAAAATCCATCATTATCTCATCTTGATCCACATGCCTCTATTTATGAAAAAGAAGTACAAAAGATTATCAATTTACAAAGAATAGCAAATCAAATGCCAGATGCATTTACGGATTTGAAAGGATAACAAAATCACATATCCCTGCAGAGAATGTTCCAATCCGTATTGATGTCCCTATTCGACAATCTTCTAGTGTCATAGCTAATGAGTCAAAAGCAGCCCTAAAACGTGGCAGACCATTGGGTTCCAAAGATCAAAATCCTAGAAAAGAAAAACAAATGATCAAAATGACACTACGAAAGAATCTCGTGAAGAAATCCATAATTTAATAAAATTTGAGATTCATGAGGAGTTCATTGAGCCCGAGAATCAAGAAAATAAGGAACTATCAATAAATCCAATCGATATTAAGACAAATTTGAATAGATTGGATATAGTGGTGGATTATGTCTTTACATGTAATGTTGCATCTAGCATTATGCAAGATAGTAATGATCTTGAACCTCAATTTGTTGGAGAATGTCGACAAAGACGTGATTGGCCAAAATGGAAAGAAGCAATCCAATCAGAGTTGAACTCACTGGAAAAACGTAAAGTTTTTGGGCCTGTGGTCCAAACACCTAATAGTGTTAAGCCTGTTGGCTATAAATGGGTCTTTGTACGCAAGATGAATGAGAAAAATGAGGTACAAAGATATAAGGCACGCCTTGTTGCACAAGGATTTTCACAAAGGCCTGGTGTCGATTATGAAGAGACATATTTACCCGTTATGGATGATATAACGTTCCGTTATCTCATTAGTTTTGTTGTCCATGAAAAGCTTGACATGCATTTAATGGATGTAGTTACCGCCTATGGCTCACTTGATAATGAGATATACATGAAAATTCTCAAGGGATTTAAAATGCCTAACGCAAATAATTCATAGTCTCGGGAAATATTTTTAATCAAATTGCAAAGATCTTTGTATGGTCTAAAACAATCAGGACGAATGTGGTATAATCGTCTTAGTGAGTGTTTATTAAAGGAAGGTTATATAAATGATGCCATTTGTCCATGTGTTTTTATAAAGAAAACAACATCGAAATTTGTTGTACTTGCCGTATATGTTGATGACATAAACCTTATTGGGACTCCTATAGAACTCTAAAAGGCAATTGATTATTTAAAGAAGGAATTCGAACTGAAAGATATCGGAAAGACAAAATTATGTCTTGGTTTGCAAATTGGACATTTGGCAAACGAAATTTTTGTAAATCAATCTGCCTACATAGAAAAGGTATTGAAACGGTTTTACATGGATGGAGCATATCCATTAAGTACTCTGATGGTTGTTCAATCACTTGATATGAATAAGGATTTATTCCGACCTCAAGAAGAGAATGAAGAGCTACTTGGTCTTGAAGTAGCATATCTTAGTGCAATTGGTGCACTAATGTATCTTGCTAACACTACAAGACCTGACATAACTTTTTCAGTTAATGTCTTAGCAAGATATAGCTAGAGACATTGGAATGGAATCAAACACATATTGCGGTATCTAAAAGGGACTACCGATATGGGCTTATTTTATGGCAATAATTGCAGTACCGATCTGGTTGGTTATGCTAATGCTGGGTATTTATCTGACCCACACAAGACTCGATCTCAAACAGGTTATGTGTTTACCTGTGGAGGCACTGCCATATCTTGGCGATCGACTAAGCAATCAATTGTGGCTACTTCTTCTAATCATACTGAGATAATTGCTATTCATGAAGCAAGTCGAGAGTTTGTATGGTTGAGGTCTATAAATGTGGTTTGAAATGTGACAAACTACCCACGATTTTGTATGAAGACAATGCATCATGCATAGCTCAATTGAAGGGAGGATTTATAAAAGGAGATAGGACAAAGCACATTTCACAAAGTTATTTTTCACACATGAACTTCATAAGGATGGTGATATCAATGTGCAACAAATTCGTTCAAGTGATAATATGGCTGATTTGTTCACAAATCTCTACCGACGTCAACCTTCAAGAAGCTAGTGTACAAGATCGGGATGCGAAAACTCAAGGATGTGAATTGATGCTCTCATCAGGGGGAGTTAATGTGTGTTGTACTCTTTTTTCCTTACAAGATTTTGTCCCACTGAATTTTCCTTGCAAGGTTTTTAACGAGGCAACCAAAAGGCGTATTATTAAACATGTGTACTCTTTTTCCTTTTCTATTTTTTTTTTACATTGGGTTTTATTTTAGTTAAGGTTTTAATGAGGCACATTAACTGTCGAATAGACATTCAGGGGGAGTTTTATAAATAGAATTTTATTTATGGTGAATATCTATATTTAGAGAGATTCTAGGGTTTATTATTTGGTGGTTAAGTCACTCTCTCCCTATAAATAGAAAATTATATTCTATTGTAATTTATCCCAAAAATTCAATAAGAATTCCATCTTCCTCTTTCTCTGTAATATTATTCTTGTTTTTTTATTGTTTTATTACACGAATCCTTTATTTCAAAACATGAGCAACTATCAATTATTTCAGTAGACACAAATCAATTCTTTTTCAAAATCGTATCCAGATATACTCATATGTTCCAACAAATAAATCAAAACAAAAAAGTAACCAAAAATAGAACTGTTTGTACAACTCAATCGCCACATTATTTTAAAACGACAAAGATACTTGCATCATGCACGTTGAGCCGTGAGCTTTCTAGGAAGCTGCAATAAGAATATATAAATTTATTGCTACTATTCTCTACCAATATAATGAGATAATACTAGTATTTTTCACACTTAATCAAAAATTACAGATTCGAACCATAAAAAAAATAATTATAGTAATAGAAAATGATTTATTCGAAGTGGATTTTTTAATATTCGATATAAATTCAAATTAATTAAATTCCAAAGTAAGTACATACCATGAAAAAAAAAGATATTATTCTTCCACCTGTCACTCACACTCTGATAACACCTCTTTAGCCACTCTGTATGTATCTTTTGCTCGCGGCCAAGAGATATGGTGTAGTGGATGAAACTGCTGTTCCCTTAACCAGAGATCTCAAGTTTAAGTCGTGGGTATGGAAAAATGCTTGATAGAGAGTGTTTCCCCCGAAAGAGACTCTACGCAGCGCGAATCCGGATATAGTCGAGCTTCAATGCGGGTACCGGACAACAGAAGTAAAACCAACCAAAAAAAATATCTATCTTTTCCCCTCTCTCTATATATCCCATGCACTAATCCCTCATTGTTGCCTTCTTATTCCTTCATTTTCTTTTAAATTTCACTAATTACCATAGCTGGCTCCCTATTTTCGACCACAATTCCACCTCAATCAATTGCTCTTAAGCCCTTAAAAAAAAAAATCCCCCTTTTTCAACAATTTGGCGTCAAAAACCCTAATTGCATGAAATACACAAATTTGCCAAATACCCTTTTCTGATTTTGTAATTGAGCATGAAGGTGTTTAATTGAAGGTTAGATTTTGTGAGAATCTTCTTAATTCCTCCACAAAGATTGTTCCTTTGACCGTTAAATTTAAGACCCACTTTCCCAATTTATAATTGAACTGAAACGCATGAATTGAAACTCAATTTGGGAGTTCTGTAGTTTTGGTTTCCTGGTTTTTATTTATATTGAGAAGTGTTTTTTTTAAAGAATTAAAAGATGGAGAATTACGAGCTGGTGAAAGAAATAGGGTCTGGGAATTTTGGAGTGGCGAGGCTCATGAGGCACAAGCAGACCAAAGAGCTGGTGGCTATGAAATATATTGAGAGGGGACACAAGGTTTGCATAATCTATTGTTTCTTCTATCATCAAATATGTTATTGAGACCAAACTTTTGTTGAGTTGCTTCAATATCAAGTATCTGATTTCTAATTACTACTGTACTGCCTGTTGATTGTACACGGAGTTTTAGATGTTAATTTTGACTTATATTGAGATTAGTCATGATGGAAGAACGTATTAAAGTAATGGTTGAGGAGGTAGTTTGATAGAGAAGGCATTATATCGAAGTTCAAAAATTTGAATGCTATGATTAATTTGAATTCTTGAAAGATTCAAGATTGTATAGAAATGAAATGTTGTCAAATGTTGACATCTGAAATGAAAGAGTGTTGTATAAATTTGGCTAGAGGAAGTATGATTTGCGGATATTCTTAAAATCATTTGTACAATTGGGATTAATCAGGTCCTGTACTCTCCCCAGTTTGTTGTGTTCCTGTATATCTGCAGCACATGAATATATTTTTATATTATGATCCTCTATCATTTTAATAAATTTGAGGTGGTTTTGGACTGTAGATTGATGAGAATGTAGCAAGGGAGATCATAAATCATAAATCGCTTCGACATCCAAACATAATTCGGTTCAAGGAGGCAAGTATATATCTTTATTTCCCATCACACTATTTGCTTTAATGGTGATTAGCTTTGAAAATGGCAGGAAACTGTTAAGGACATAGCTAATCTAACTATTGCGTTATTGTTTCTGAGTTGCAGGTGGTATTAACCCCCACTCATCTTGCTATTGTAATGGAATATGCAGCTGGTGGAGAGCTGTTTGAGCGCATTTGCAATGCCGGAAGGTTCAGTGAAGATGAGGTATAGTTATATTTTTTTTAACTGCCTATAGCCAATTCTCCCGTGGACCAAACATATGAAGGATAAAAAACATTGTAAAGGAGGCCTTTGGTTCAAACCTGCGAATTTAAAGGCCTTTCTATGCTGCCTTGAAAAGCTTTTGTTCATTGGTTTCTTCTGCTGACATTTTCAGGCTAGATATTTCTTCCAGCAGCTTATTTCAGGAGTCTGCTACTGTCACAACATGGTGAGCAACTTTTTAGTGGAAAAAGGTTTTGACTTGTAATAAATGCACATGACTGTAAGTTTTGATGCATCTTGTGAATGTGCCCTTTATCCATGTGCTTTTTCTTTTTTTGTTGCAAATGTGCCTTTTTCAACTAAAGAATTTTTTTCCTTGAAACTTATCTTTATTCTGCAGCAAATATGCCATCGAGATTTAAAACTGGAGAATACTCTACTGGATGGCAGTCCAGCACCACGCTTGAAGATTTGTGATTTTGGATACTCAAAGGTCTGATGATGTTCGCGTGATTTAAGAAAATTTATATGCTCCCCCTCCCTATCCACCCATCCGCCCCTCAAGCCCAAAAAAATACAGGGGGGAAAAAAGAAGAAGAGAAGGCTAATATGCACAAATTTTTCTTCTTCCAATCACAGTCGTCTCTGCTGCATTCGAGGCCAAAATCAACTGTTGGAACTCCCGCTTATATTGCTCCCGAAGTTCTATCTAGAAGAGAATATGACGGCAAGGTACATCTGTAATTGCTTGTATTAACTTTTACATTTGTCAGAGTTGCAACACTCTATTGATTCTCTGGCATTCATGAAACCATAGCTGTCTTTGTGACAGTAGGAGCAACATGTTGCTTCTGGTCTTTTTTAAATTATATATAAGTAATCTGGAAAGCATTGTAAGTGGCGGCAATAAGATCTGTTAATATTTCTGGTGATGATTCCACAATTAATTCCTCCACTTTGTGCGGTCCAGTCTTTCCCTAAAGAGCGATTTAACTTGTAACTTGTGGTTGTGATTGTTTCAGCTGGCTGATGTTTGGTCATGTGGAGTGACACTTTATGTAATGCTGGTTGGTGCGTACCCTTTTGAAGACCAGGAGGATCCGAAGAACTTCCGGAAAACTATCCAAGTGAGTTCTTCTTTAAGTTTTCATAAATTAAAGGCCTTTCGAGCTTTAGTCTAGTAAATAATAGAATTAGTTTTCGCCTTTTTAATTTCTGCTCGTGTTTTCTTTACAGCGGATAATGTCGGTGCAGTATAAGATTCCCGACTATGTTCACATATCACAGGACTGTAGGCACCTTCTCTCTCGCATATTTGTTGCCAATCCAGCAAGAGTATGCTCTCTCTCCCTCTTGTCGGTTATCTGTCCTAATAAAAGTTTGCTTGAATTGCTTCTGAGCTTAGTCCTAGGTAGACTTGAGGGCTGACACTCTGGTGCAGGTGTAATTTATTTAATACATCATTTCAATGGGTATCTGTGCATTCACCTTTTTGCACCCTCTGCATCTTATGTCCAGTATGTGCATTTGATGGATGGCCTCCAGTGAGGTCATCAATGTGACAATCTAGTCAAATCCTTCAACTGTAATATGGCATCAAATGATATCCTTTGAAGCCGTAACTTATCCAATTGTCAATCAGTCTTTGAGGATAACCTAAACATCTATTGAAGCTGTCTTTTTTGCTGCAATGGAACATCATAGTCGTTCTTGCTGATAGTGACTCTGATAGTGACTCTGATAGTGCTGCTTTAGAGGATATGTAAATTGGATGTTCCATGGTTCTCGCTAAGGCACAACGTTCTCTGCGCCTTCAATTACTATGGAGTTATACTATCAGGAAACTGTCGCAGTTGCTTGTAATGTTATAATCGATAAAACGCAGGAATATTTAGTCTGTCACCTCCAACTAATTTGGATCAAAGTGCAATACCCTTCATTTGGTCTTTTAAACAGCTGCAGTAGTTAGTTGTCTTCTATAGTCTAGTATGGTGAGTTTATCCAAGAAGAATGGATCCTAGTGCTGTTGTTTTCTTTATTCTGCTCCCTTTTTGGAAGCTTGTGGGTTTTTTTTTTTTTTCTGTCTTTGAATACTACTGTAGTGATGATTCCTCGTCAAATATCTTCCAAAGGGTAAGAGCATCAGAATCATCCAGAGAATAGATCCAAATGGATTTATCATTATGTGTGTTTTTGTGATGCTTTTGTTATAAGGGCAGTTATCACTTGCGGTTTACCCACCGAATTTCCTGGGTCTTCGGATGATGCATCGGGTTATGTTTTTCGGCTCCTTTATATGATCTCTCTGCTTTATCATTATCTCTTCAATTTTTAACATTAAGAAGAATGATTAATTCATCAAAATAATCTGCTACTCATTTAAGTTTGCACCTTTGCATTTGTTTGATTGAATTGTGTAAATAATCTAACCATATCGGAGAAAAGAAAGCAGACAAACCAAAACAAGTCTGAATTAGAATATAATGTTGCTTGTGACATTTCTTTTGCAGAGAATTACAATCAAAGAAATAAAAACCCACCCGTGGTTTTTGAAGAATTTGCCTAGGGAATTAACAGAAGCAGCACAGCTTGCTTATTACAGAAAAGAAAATCCAACCTTTTCCCTTCAGAGTGCGGAGATGATCATGAAAATTGTGGAAGAGGCAAAGACCCCTGCTCCAGCTTCCCGTTCAACTGGAGGTTTTGGCTGGGTAGGTGAAGAGGAGGAAGAAGAATTGAACGAAGAAGATGTAGAAGAAGAGGACGACGAAGAAGATTAATATGAAAAGCAAGTGAAGCAGGTACATGAAAGCGGAGAATTTCATGTCATCTAAGGTTTAAATTATCTTTGTTGCTTGTAGAAAGCATAGCTTTGCGTTTCATGGTTGTGTAAAATTGGCTCTTTTCATGTTGTGTGTGATTTAAGGATGTTTGTAAATTTATGGTGTTTTGGTTGAAATTTATTACCATGTGTGGTATACTGAAGTTGGTAGTCAAAGGAGTTGAATTATACATGAGTTTAATCAACAGACTTTGGTCATTTTATGTAGTGTACACTGATAGCCTGTTTGGCCAAGCTGCAAAAATCAGCTTATTTTGATAAGTGCTTTTCTCAAAAGTACTTTCGGTGAGAAGCAGTTTGTGTTTGACTAATTAGTTTGAAAAACACTTCTGAGCAGCAATTAGTGTTTGGCCAAGCTTTAAAAAACTGCTTCTAAGTGTCGCACCTCCTTTTTGCGCGCCCCGGCCCCGAGGGGTAAGATGCGCGGGTGGAGTTTTTCCAATTTAAGTGACAATATTCGAAA